CACACAAAGTGTATGTGTGTGCCTGCACTGTGTACATGTGCATATGTGTGCACTGTGTGTATGCACATGTGCATGTGTATGTGTGTATGCATATACATGTGCATGTATGTGTACCCATGTATGTACATGTGTGTGCACACATGAGAAGGTTCTGAATCAATCCGGATTCTCTAGTAAACAAAACTGGGAGTGGATTTTTATATAAAGTATAAATATGTGCTTAGAAGTATTTATAATTTGATGTATAATAAATATTAGAATATATAGTATATAATAAAATTATGCTAGAAATATATATTACAAATACAAATTCTGCTTATATAATAGAAGAGGCACAAAATAATGGGACGGTGTATGATTTAAAATACAGATACTGGTTTGTTCATTTCTTTTCAGGAACCGGCTCACGCAGTGGTAGAAGGTCAGAAGTCCAGACTTCACAGGGAAGGCTGGAAGCTGAAGCAGCCACAGCTGCTTCCATCTGAAGGTGGAATTTCTTCTCTAGGAAAGCTGTTTGCTCCCGAACTGAGGCCCATCCTCATTTTTAGGGTAACTTCCTTTACTTAAAGTTGATAGGCTGGAATATGAACCACATCACAAAATACCTTCTCAGAGACATTTAGACTAATGCTTGATTAAAGGCCGCAGCCCATCCAGGATGACAAGGAAGTACAGACTTCATGGCGTCCATTGCCTTTGCTGGTGCCTGGACTGCTACAGAATTCTTACACAGGGACTGGAGAGATGGGTCAATGGCTAAGTACTTGCGGTGCAAGTGTGAGGACCCGAGTTCAGATTTCTGGAACCGACGTAAAATGCCAGGTGGGCATGGTGACCTGCGGCGTCCATTGCCTTTGCTGGTGCCTGGACTGCTACAGAATTCTTACACAAGGGAGATGGGTCAATGGCTAAGTACTTGCAGTGCAAGTGTGAGGACCTGAGTTCAGATTTCTGGAACCGACGTAAAATGCCAGGTGGGCATGGTGACCTGCCTGTAGAGAACAGGGATTCCCAGAGTAAGCTGGTTAGCAAGACTAGCCATATCGATGAGCTCTGGGTTTGACTGAGAGACCCTGCCTCAATGAATAAGGTGGATGAGTAACTGAAGATGATTCCCAGCATCAACCTCTGCCTCACATACATGTGCACACATACAGATGCACACCCCACACAAACATGTATGTGCATACATATGCAAACATACGTACTCCCATGTGCACCATACACATACATGAAAATGAGTGGGAGGGATACTTCTATCACAGAAGCTTTGGTTTTTCATAGTCTTTATGGACCTCAGACATGGGTGGGATGTTTAATCATGCCTGTCAACTTGACTGGATCTGCCGTCAACTAAGAGAAAAGCCTCTGGACCACTCTGTGAGGGCATTTCCAGGAAAGATTCACTGAGGGAGAAGACCTCCCCTCAAGTGTGGGGGAGTGCACCTTTCAGCTTTGATCCAGACATAAAAAGGTTTGAGGGAAAAGCAGGGCTGGAGCATATCTGTCTTTGCCTCTCACTGATTACAACTCTCTCTGTTGATGCTGCTGCTCCTGCTGCTGCTAAACTCTCCCGACATCAGACTCTAGCTCTTCAGCCTTCCAAGGTGGACTGCAGATCAACAGCTCTCCAGGAATCCTCCTAGCCTTCCATTCCAGATTAGGGCTGCTGAGGCATCCAGCTTCATGGATGGTAGACCCAGCTACCAGCGTCTCAGCCTCTCCCACACATGCAGACGGCCACTGTTGGATGTACCTACCGTGAACCATATAAGTCAATCTAATAAATCCCATTTGCAATATATTTTCCTCTAGAGAACCCTGACTCGTACAAGCGGAAGCTTCATCCCAGGCCTGGCAGAGCCACTGAGGTCTCAGGATCCAGATGGTGTCACTATGGAGTAATCCCCAGGCTGGTTACTTATTCCCCATTCATGGGACACCGCAACAACGGCAGTATTTGACTGAGCTTATCTCACTGGAAGTGATTCCTTCCTTCTTTCTTTCCAGAGGAAGAAAACCTGAGGCTCAAAATGGTTGTGTCACTGTAGAACATCGTCCAGTGTTTTCTGTAGGGGAATGAAATTGGCACCTACTCATTCAAACTCCAGGGATCTATGCCTGCCCTGCAGAGACTAATCTCTGTGGATGGATGGGAAATTTCTTCCTTCTTTCTTCCTGTCTGCCTTCCTTCTCTGACCTTTTCTTCCTACTTGATCTCAGTCTACCTTGATACAACTGTTGTATGTAATCATGCCAAGCACTGCCCTGAACTTGAAGTTCTCAGTTGAGGGGGTGTTCTTTAGGAGAGTGTAAAGTCAAATTTACTTCAGGGAGGCCCACACTGCAGGCACTGTCGGCTCCCGGACCCTCTGTCTTTATGACCCACCGATTGGCCAACACAACGTTTTTCCAAACTACAGTTTAGGGAACAAAGACATTTATTTGGGCTAGCCAGCAGAGCTATGATGAGGAGGAGGGATTATATACAAAGGTATGGACACCAGTGGGCTTTTTTCCCCTACATCTCAACTGAGCTTTTCAGATCCAAGCCACTGGCCCACTGACCCAAGATGGCGAAAACTCCCGCCTCCTCCCCGGCTTCTTTTGTGTCTATCCTTAGACCCTTCCACTCATGCGATTGAAGCTGACAAACTGGGTGGGAGGGGTGACTGACTCCCTCCCTATCTACGGAGCCTCTTAAGATTCAGACATCCAACTGTTACTAGTCCATTTGGAGGGCACACCTATCTAACACGGAGATAGATGGATTTCAGATGCTCAGAGTCTTCCAGGAACAACAAATCAGGACAAAACATGAAGAATGTTTTGAGTTGTAAAGACTGTTCTTTTCCAAAATCTAAAACTTGACTCTGAATAGAGTTAAAGTATTGCCTCCAGCCTTGGGACACCAACATTTATTCAGGTCACACTTATCCTGACAACCTGGGGATGGAAACTTCCTCTGAGTTCTGAGCTAGGAGAGACTAAAAGATGCTGTCCAACTCAGCTCCTTGTCCTCAAGCAAATTGTTCATCATATCCTGGCTCTCCATGGAAGAAGGATCCAGCTTCCCTTAGGACGCTCTCCTGCCCTGTAAATTCCATGTGACATTGGCTTTTCAGCCCCTGTCCTTGACCCAGCCTCCAGTGGGAATGGCAATCAATCCACTGTTGCATTGTGTAATGTTCCAAATCAGAAAGCTGATAGTTCCGCCTCATGGGGTGGCCAATGGAAACAAAGTTCAGGGCTGTCAACCAGGGCGTGTTTTGCATGTGCTCGGCAGCTTCTGCCACAACTTTTTCCTCCAAAGGCATCGACACAAATGAAAACTGGCGAGTGCTCTGGTCTACCACCCAAGGCTGAAGAACGAAAGCCTCAAAATGGAAACGGCCTGATCCTAATTTAATCCAGAAGAATAAACAGGAGATCACTCGGCAGACTCCAAATCCCCAGCCAGAAGATTATGCCCATGGGGCAAATAGTTATGGACCAGCTCTCCCTTGTGTCACAGCAAGTAGGTTAAAATAGCCCTTAATAACTCAGTGACACTCTTGTGGGCAGTGTTGACAGTCTGCCATTTTTTTCATGTAAAGTCAAATACACAATAGAAAGTTGTATTTGTAAAATGGCTACAGTACTGTTGTGTGAAGCTTACACTTGGTCTCTCTTTCATGTCACTCAAGACCCTGCTGAAGTACGAATTCCTTCCAAAGCCGTTCCTCAACCCCTACTGGTAGCTCAATCACCCAACGCCCATACTCTCGAACCCTGTTTTACTCTCTTCCAGTATCAGCTGGTATATTTTTGCTGGTTTGTTTACTTCTGATTTCTCTACCTGTTAGAATGTAACCTGACTACAGCTGAAGGTATCGGCTTCTTCAGACCTCCAGTCCCAGTCTCCGACACTTAGGAATGACTCCACAAATATTTACTGAGTGAAGTCAGTGGGCTGGTTCAGGAATCAAATATCCTGAAAATGATCAGTCTTAGAGTTTGATATCTGAACTCCTTCTCTTTTGGAGAAGTTACTTTGAATTCTTTTGTTTGTTTTTATGTGTATGTGTGTGTGTGTGTGTGTGTGTGTGTGTGTGTGTTTGTCCATGTGATTGTATGCACACATGTGTGAGGGTACCCATGAAAGTCCAAATAGAAGGTTCAATACCCTAGCACTGGAATTCCGGGTAGTTGTGAGTCACCGAGCTTGGGTGCTGAGAACCAAACTCTCATCCTCTGGAAGAGCAGCAAGTTCTCTTACCCTCTGAGTAATTTCTCCAGCAATTACTCTGACAATTCTTGAGCACAATTTCCAGTCCCATGTGTTATGACTGACTGATGATTGGGAGTATCTGATTTGGCTGCTCGTGAACCAGCTGTGGAACTTTTCTCTACTTGTCATATAGGCAATGCCTTTGAGGAGGTATACACTGGAAAGTGTGAGGTCAAGAGCTACAAATGCAGTGGTTCAGGTCCAAGTCCCGGGTCTGGCACTTCCTACGTGAACACCCATGGAACGTTTACTTAACATCCCCATGTTTTACTTTCCTTGTCTATAAAACGGGGATGGTATCGATTGTACCTACTTTACAGGGTTTCGTGTGAGGACAAATGAGCACAGGTAGGTGAGTCACATCTGAGATACAGGGAACACCCAATACTAGACACTTTCTTTGCGGGTATTTATTTTTATTGTTTTTCAATTATATGTGTATCTATGAGTGGGTATGTGCGTGTGTGTACAATGCCTGAGAAGTCAAGATGAGGGTGTCAGATCTGCTGGAGTTACAAGTTGTCGTAAGCTATCCAGCATGGGTGCTGGGAACAGAACTTGGGTCCTCTGCAAGAACAGCATGCACTCTTGACACAGAGCCAATTCTCAAGCCCAGTACTAGTCACTCTTAATATGATTATTTGGAAAAAAAAATGGAAACACTCTTTTATACGGGTCAGGGCTTGAGTGGGGTCAGTGACACTCCTGTCACAGCATAAGAGGCACTCACCCTCAGGTGCTGGCCGAGCTTCTGGCTGACTTAGAGTGAGTGACACCTTGTATTGTGGGCCCCTGGAGCTTCACTCCCCTCAACCGGGTCCCAGCTCTGCAAGAAATGGACATATAAGAAATGCAGTTAGCAAATGATTTCCGAATTCAGTCTGTCATGCGGTATAATTGTTTACAGGACACATATAACTCAAATGAAATGTGATACAGGAGAAGAACAGGGACTGGGATATGGTTCAGCAGGTAGAGTGCCTACCGCACAACCATAAAGACCTGAGTTCAAATCCCGGGCACCCATGTAAAAAGGTGAGCATGTAGGGGTACCAGTACATACATGTACACATACATTCATATACCACATACCAAAACATAAATAAATATATAATATAGAAATAACTTTTTTAAAGAGAGAGATGAGCAGGAACCAACACAACAGCAAAACCAGCATTTTTAATTTGGCAAATATATTCCCAGAAATCACTGGACAAAACCCTTGCTGAGGACCAGTATTTCTCAGGACTCATCATCAGACATATTCAAAAGTCCCCGGGCTTTTGTTCAGTATGTTTGTGGGTGGTTCCAAAATAATTTATACAAACTGAGGTTTTTGTTGTGTAGAAATAATGAAGAAAAACCAGCATCAGACCAAAGTCCATTGCTAAATAGGGTTCAAACAATATTTTACTCCCAGTGTCACACAGAATGATGACAGGATGAAGAAGCAGTGTCAGGAAAGGCCCCCACATCATTAGATGTACAGATTGTTCACACGTCATCCTACTTTGCTTCTCTTTTCCTATGATAAAACACTGACCAAAACCCACTATGAGAGAACTGGATTTGTTTAGCATACAGGTTACAGTCCATCATCAAGTGAAGCCAGGGCAGGTGTTCAAGAAAGAAACCTGAAGCACAGACCACAGAGGAATGCTGCTTACTGGTTGGCTTGCCTGGCTTGCTCAGGTACCTTTCTTATTCAGCCCAAGCCCACTTACTAGGGATGTTACCACCTACAGTGGGCTGGGCTCTCCACCATCAATTAGCAATCAAGAAAATGCCCCACAAACATGGCCACAGGCCAAGCTGATGGAGACAATTCTTCAATTGAGGTTCCTTCTTCCCAGGGGTGTCTAGGTTTGTGTCAAATTGACAAAAAGCTAACCAGCACACACATTCAAAGAAAATGACCAAAAAGGGTCATCCCTACATATCATGATATTGTTCCTGTTCTCTGAAAATCTGGAAGATCTTTTCTGGTTGCGAAGTCAAGGACACCACAGAGTCTGGGCATAAAGAAGTTCAACTGTCTCTAATGTCATTCATTCCTGAATTCTATCCAGGAAGGTCTATGTGGGACAGCGGCAGATGAGCCCAGTTACCTCATCTCAGGATATGTAGCAATATGTTTGACACTCAAAGACAGGATTGATCTCTAAAATCAAGAGTGAGGATTTTAATGTAGTTTGACCCCAGGAAACTCGTGTTCAAACTTGGCCTTGGTATAACAGTGTGGAAACAAGGTAGACTCTTAGGAAGTGATCTGGTCACTGACAGGAACTAATGCAGCTGTTGTGGGGTCGGACCAGCTACAAGAGCAGATGTCAAACAGCAAAAGGCTGTCCTTTGTGTCTTGCTTCACCTGCACATGCTCGCTGCTCCTCCACATTCACCACATCCTAATGCAGCATGACGCCGTCACCAAATGTTGGCACCATGGCCTGGGACTTAGAGTCTCCAGTACCTTAAGCTAAATGGAATTTTATCTTTATACATGACCGAGCCTGGGAGCTGGGGAGACGGCTCAGCGGTACAGGTCTTGTTTTGCAAGTGTCAGGACTCAAGTTCGGATTCCCAGCACCCACATAAATGCTGGGCAGGCTTAGTAGCCCAACTCTAATCCCAGAGCACAGGAGAGAGAGAGAGAGAGGCAAGGGATCCCTGAAGCAAGCTGGCTGACATGACCGAGCCTGGGAGCTGGGGAGACGGCTCAGCGGTACAGGACTCAAGTTCGGATTCCCAGCACCCACATAAATGCTGGGCAGGCTTAGTAGCCCAACTCTAATCCCAGAGCACAGGAGAGAGAGAGAGAGAGGCAAGGGATCCCTGAAGCAAGCTGGCTAGCTAGACTACCGAAATTGGTGAGCTCTGGGTTTGATTGAGAGGCCTTGCCACAACATATAAGGTAGAGAACAATCAAGGAAGACACACAACATAAACTTCTGACCTCACAGACACACATTCCCACACACATGTGCACACATACATGTGAACATGCATAGGCACATATACACATACCACACACACATACACATACCAAAAATAAATAAAAACATATTCGCCTGTAAAAAACTGTACCTACCACTGAGCCATCTCCCCAGCTCCCAGACTCGGTAATGTATAAAGATAAAATATTATGTATTGTGTTATGATAGCAACAGAAAACAGACTGAGGCACCCAGTACCCTGGGTTAGAAGAATTGTTAAACTTCATTGCCTAGGAGGTGCTAGGACCAGGGAGGCCTCATGAGGAAAGAAAGAGTATCTCTTTCTCCTCCAGACCTGCATCAAACCTTGGAAAGTTTTCCCATTACTGAAGGCATCCTATGTGGGGTCTTCTTGACAGAGCCTGACAAACATTCCCATATTTCCCACACATATTACTGATTTTAAGGAATCAGGGAAAGTGTGATATTTCTGCTGCCTCCCCATTGTTTCGTTGTTATTTTGTTCAGTTTTCTAATTCATTTTTATTTTATATGTATGAACCCATGTTGTACAATGCCCAAAGGGGCCAGAGGAGGGTGTCAGATCCCCTGGACCTGGAGAGACGAACAGTTGCCATATGGGTGCTAAGAACCCAAACCTGGGTCCTCTGGAAGAACAGCTAGAGTTCTTATTGTTTCGTTGTTATTTTGTTCAGTTTTCTAATTCATTTTTATTTTATATGTATGAACCCATGTTGTACAACGCCCAAAGGGGCCAGAGGAGGGTGTCAGATCCCCTGGAACTGGAGAGACGAACAGTTGCTATATGGGTGCTAAGAACCCAAACCTGGGTCCTCTGGAAGAACAGCTAGAGTTCTTAACCTCTGACCCATCTCCAGCTCCTTTTCTGTTAAACTTGGAGAGAGGGTTTCATGTAGCCCATGCTGGCCTTGAACTCAATACGTAGCTGAAGACGACTTTGAACTTCTGATCCTCCTGACTCCCAAGCACTGGGATTACAGGATGTCCCAACATACCTGCTTTTAGCTCTGCTGGGAATCCAGTCCAGGGCTCTGTGCATGCTAGACAGGTGCCCCACGGGTTGAGTCACATCCCCAACTGAAAAACCATTGCTGTATTAGCTACTTTTCTGTTGCTGTCATAAAATACCATGATCAAGGCAAGTTATAGAAGAGTTTATTGGGGTTTACAGTTCCAGAGAGAGATTTCATCACAGCAGGGAGGCATGACAGGAGGCAGCCAGAGTAGAAAGTTGGGAGCCACATCTTCAAGCACACACAGGAAGCATAAAGAGCCAACCGGAAGTAGGGCTAAGCAGTGAACTCCCAAAGCCCACCCCCAGTGATATGCTTCCTGCAGTAAAGCTGCATCTCCTGGGGCTTCCCTGACCTCCCCAAACAGCACTACCAACTGTGTTCTAATATTTGAGCCTATGGGGGACATTCTCATTCAAACCACCACAACTGCCGTATACAATTAGTCCATTTAAAAAACTCCAGGGGCTGAAGAGATGGCTCAGCAGTTAAGAGTGATTTGTTGCTCTTACAGAGGACTGGAGTTCAGTTCCCAGCACCCATGTCAAGTGACTCACAACTGCCTGTAACTCCAGATCTGGGGGAGCCCATGTCCTCTTCTAGCCTCTGGGGATACTTACATACATCTTCACAGGTACACACACACACATACACACACACACACACAGAGAGAGAGAGAGAGAGAGATAAAAATGAAAATGCCTTAGAAAGTACTCCATAGGTTTGCTTAATCTCAATATATTGCTCTCACCCTAAGTTAACCATGATGTATAACACAAATGACTTAGAACTTGAAACAAAAGTGAAACTGAGCAAATAGCTGGGCGTGGTGGCGCACACCTTTGATCCCAGCACTCAGGAGGCAGAGGCAGGCGGATCTCTGTGAGTTCAAGGCCAGCCTGGTCTACATAGTGAGTTCCAGGCCAGCTGGGGCTATAGGGAAACGCTGTCTCAAAAAGACAAAAAAAAAAAAAAACTGAGCAAATAAAGTAGAAATGTGTATTGTAGTCAACCTTCCGGTGACCAGCTTTCAAATATGTTATTAGGACTGTTAAACTATCTAAATCAAAGGCATTCTGCCTTGTCTCTCTGGCCAAAAGGTACCGATAAGTCCATTCAATGGACTGTTACTACAAAAAACAATGGACCTCAAAATATCTACCTCTATCTAGAGCAGGGTGACAGCTGGGTTGGTAGAATACGTGCCTTGCAAGCATGAGGACCTCAGTTTGATCTCAAAAACACATGTCAAGCTAGACACAGAAGCTGTAATGCCAGCACTGGGAAGGTGGAGAAGGAGGGAGCCTGGGGCTCACTGGCCAGCCAGACCAGACAAATTGGCAAACCCCAAGTCTCAGTGAGATACTGCCTCAAAACAGCAGGTGAACGGGGCACCTGCTGAAATGGAGCACCAAGATTGATCTCTGACCTCTATATGCATGTATACATGTGTACCTGTACATACACATGTCCTATCACATCCATTTCATGTACACACATATACATACACACAAATATACACCTACCTATCAACCTCCAGTTCCTGGTGTCATGGTTGAACAGCTAGAAATGGAATTTGAAGAGTTTAGGACGTGATTCTGTTACTAACATCCAATGTTTGCTCTGACTCTTTACAGAAGCATTCGAAATGGAGCTGTGAAGTTTCCCAAGCTCAATGCAGGTCACTAAGATCCACCCTACAAACACGTCTGTCACCTCCTGAATACCTGTCACCTAGGAAGCAGCCAGGAAGGGATTCTCTGGTTCTGCTTTCTGGCACAGTTAGTACCCAGTATCTTCTAACCCAGTTGCTTGCCGTTTGCAACACAGGCCCTCCA